ATCTTGCTGTCAACAGTTCCATAAACAATCGCGCCCCTTAGCCTTGGTACTCATCAAAATCATGCAAAGGAATAATAAACTCTCTTTAAGACATTATCTACAAAAAAGATCCCGAACAAACAACCCAAAACCACTTAAAGTTTTTTTTTGAATGGAACGTCGCAAAGTCGGCATGGCCATTAAATGACTGGGTCGTATACCAGGCGAAATTCTGAAGGATGATATTCCGTCGAATTGTCGCGATAACCGCTGCGACACGTCACCAACTTCCCAAAACATTTACCTAACCAAAAAATGACAGTTGTCCAACGACAGTAAATCTCGTTACATATGCCTCTGCAACAGATTCGTTTAAGTCAATAAACCCAAACTTAAGAGCAAGATGGAAAATCGTTAGATAAACTTTTATGTCTGGAGAAATGGCAGAGAAACGCGCTGTCGGCAGTTCCGATGGTCTGAGTAAAGATAAATATTTGAAGTCTTGAAATAATGATCATAGCTTTTGGGATTGCAACAGAGCACAGAAACAAACAACTAGACTTGACCATCTTTTAAAATCGTACTAGGACAGATGGGAAATTCAAAACGATCTCTATTTTCCATGACAGTCAAAAACCTTATTTCTGCTATCACATTTTGCTACATGAATATATGCAGGAAAAACGAAAATGCGCGAAATTCAGTGAGCTTGTATCAAATAATAGTCATATTTAAAAACGACAAGATCTGGAAAGGACAAACAAGTCATCCATCGCGTGAAAGCCCAGCAACCAAGAAACGCAATGAACAGCACTGCTTTCAAGTGGAAGGCTCAGCATTCGCACAACTTATATATTTTAATATATTACTGTCAATGCTTCATGAGAGTAAAAGTCAACGTCCAGCTATCAATCTACATAAGATACAGAAAGCTTTTTAACCACAAAACCAAAATTTGTAACAGTACATAAAACATTAGAACTGTTTCGATCTTCAAGTTTTGTCGGAGAGATCACACAGGAGTAAAACTACTGAACTTAAATATTAAAATATACAAAACACTTGTTTACATAAAGTTAATGCAAAAGAGACGTTATTTCGTTTCTATTTCGCAGATAAATGTTATTTCTTTTCCATGTCGCGGATTTAGTATTCAAGCCAATTGAAAATTTTTCGTTTGCTTTTCTCACAAAATTTGATTAGTTGATTTCCTTGACAATCAGATGGCTATAAACTACAATCATAGATGGGATTGTCAGACGTTGCCCAGTAGTCACTGACATGAGTAGTTGTGAAGAACCGTATCACACTTTTAAATTTGCATTTCACTTCCTTGGTTTATTCAATAAATTTCAGCTAATCAGTAAACATTCATTAAACCAATCATCGTTGTTGTCCATATATAATGAATCTACTCTAAAAAAGTGGAATTTTGCGAAGTCTCCGTAGCATCTTAGCTCACTGTTAATTTATAAATGGAAATTGCGCAATGGGACAATCTTCACAATTTTTTATCATCAGGGTACGTTTGTTGGAATATTCAATTATGACCGAACATTCGTCGTAAAAAGTCGTAAATGACATATTTCACGTTGATTCTACTGCACTCTGAAGACAACCAGTGCTCTACTGTATGGCTGATAAATTTTGTCGAATATCGTCCAGTTTTTTTGTTGAAAATGCGCTAAAATGAAACAGTTATGAAACAGTTTTTTGTGCATGAGCAGAATCGATAAACAATGGCATTCTCATCGGAAACTGCTGGGTATTCATGAGTAACACAAAAGTAGAAACGGCAAGAAAAGCGAATTTCTGCTAAGAAACAGAAATTGACAGCTGTAAAAGCTTCCATTTATTGCAAAAGTGCATGCTGACATTTCAATCCGTGAAATTCTCTTCTGAAGAAGCTAATTCACTTTGTCAACAGTCTCATCATCATACCAATGAGTTTAATGACAATGTTAACTTCGCTACTTAAAATGAACTAAATATTGTGACGCGACACATTTTAAAATTATTTATTTCTGATATTCCAACTACCCAAAAAATACTGGACATGAAGGAAGCAACTGATCTGCGGTACAATGTACAGGTGTGTGGCTGGCATTAAACGAAGTTTTATTTCCATGGTGCAAAGAAATTGCATTTAGAAATTCTGGATGTATGTAATTTGCTTTCGTCAGGTGCAAAAAGACAAGATGAAAGTTTGCAATGCATTTTACCGGCATTTAATCTTGAAAATCAAGGGACTGTAGTGACGTGTTGCTGACTCTACCCGTAGCATAAACGGAACAGTGTAATTTTTGATGAATCCTCGATTAGATGAAGTTTATTATATTCTTTTCGTTTTGTTTTATTAAATTTAAAGCAGATGTTTATATTTCTGTGGTAATTTTCCAAAAAAACTGCATTATTTTTAATCTACCGTCTTCCGTGTAAGTTAGGTAGTGTTTTTCTAATCTTTCAGCTTTCAGTTGTTTTCATCCGCATGTAGTTTGAAAGCTTTACATCATTTTTGAAACAGAATTTTTGGTTTATTGTGATTTGTCACTACAATTTTGGTTGATTTTTCCTTGTTGTCAGATGTGCATAAGGTTTACATAATCATTTCGTATCCGTTGATTGTCGAATCGCTGTGCCATTTTTTATAAAAGGAAATTTTGAAGCTGCTTCTGTTGTATGTGTAGATGTTTCTTCAGATCGTTCTGTGTTTTTCAACTAAAGCGTCACTTGATCGCGAGCAACACTAAACCGCTGTTGTTTCTGTAGTTGTCTGCTCCTGCACTTTATTTCCTCCCCCGACTGTCGACATTTGTTAAGTGTATGAAATCAACTTGATTCATAGTTCACTTCACTAGTATTGGCGTGCTTGTGAACTCTGGCTCTTTAGCCTCGCGTGCGTACTAATTTTCACCTCTCGTTCTGTTTAATGATTTATTCACTTGTTCCTATTTTGTTTTTAGATGCCTGTGCCTAGTAGAGCTCGAGTTTATGCAGAGATAAATTCCAAGAAGCCTCGAGAATATTGGGACTACGAATCGCATGTGATCGAATGGGGGTATGATTTCATTTCTGTTCATTTTGCTTCTTTAGTTGAAATCGGCCAATGTTTCAACTTTGTACTGTTATTCGCTATCGTATCCAGTTTTCTGCACTAATGTGGACAAATAATATCATAAACTTTGATTACAAATATCCAGGCATGAGGATCTGAAATTTAACAGAGGCATGTTTCTCGGAAAAGCAGCTATGTGAATTATTTGTCACGTGCAGCCAATGTTCATCACGGTGGGTAATTATTATTGTATGTCAAAGGTGATAAAACTTTTGTTTATTTCTCGAATATCAGCTTATCCCATATTCTGAACTGGTTGTAATTATTAGCTTATA